ACACTATCATTGTACCACAAAGCTTGCACCACATATGTTGCACCACGCACGGTGCACAACATTGATCGCACAACCTATACTGCTCACCATAGGTTGAACAACATCGAATGTTCCACATATGTTACTTCACATAAATTGCACGACATTGCGTGTACCACTTATGTTGCGCCACGTAGGTTGCATGCACCAGGTGTACTGCGCAGCACAGATTGCACAACATAGTTTGAGCACACTTTATTTCACCACATCGATTGCTACACATGGAATGCGCAACCTAGGCCACACCGCCCTTGCTCAACATTGATTGCTTCACGTCGAATGCACCACATATATTGTGCCACAAGCAGTCGCAGAACATACGTTGCGCAACAGATGTTGCTAGAAGTGCACTGTGTTGGGTCCACGCTGGCTAACATTCTGTTTAGGAGAATGAATGTACAGTTGACCCACGCGGGCGCCCGCTGGCGGCCACCAGGCGAAGTTTCTGCAGACCCAGCCAGCGTACTGGGGGCCCACGAGGCATCCACGGACGGCCACCCGGCGGAACCTCAGCCGGCCCAGCCACACCCAGAAAACGGAGAGCTCACGAGGCACCCATGAGCGACCACCGGGCCCAAACCCCTGGCAGACCCAGCCAGCGCGCAGGGCGCCCACGGACGGCCACCAAGCGAGACCTCGGCAGGCTTGGACAGGGCATTGGGCGCCACGAGGCGCCCACAGGCGGCCACCAGGCGAAAGCCTGTCAGACCCTTTCACGTAATGGCTTAAGAGTTGTATAGCAAGCAGGTGCAAGCATTGTCTGGGGAACATCCACGCAAGCAAGCTTAGCAGTGCAGGGGCACAGAGGCACGCCTGGAAGCTGCAAGAGTTAGCCTCCGTTGGCAGCTGCTGGCTGGTGCCTGTAATGTAACGAGTGTATCAGTTGTTGGCCAGAGGCGCGGAGGACAGAACGCGCTGCGGCCCCGCCGAGGGTGTTGCCAAACTTCTAACGAGTGTGCCACAGGTGACCGTCACTGCGACTGTTGCTGCAGTTACTTTTGTACCGCCTAGCCTTGCAGACCCTAAGACAGATGGTCCGCGGGTTCGAAGCACATTCGGAATAACCCGATCAGGGTGCCTTACGCGGCATCGCATTGAGGAGCCTACCGGCAGTCTCGGCGAGCTGGAACAGACATCACGTGTTAAAGCACATTGATCCCTTTTGAGCAGGAACACTCGCGCCGTTCATTGTTTCAATCGCAGAGCATGGCGAGCTGTTACTAATCGACAGCAGGTGTCGATGCACACTGGCCAGCTGCTGCATAGTACCCTTTCCCCTCCTGACCCTCCTGCTGTTCTCTGCCTCTGTCTATGTGTTCCTCTTCTCGCGAGGCGTTTCGTCTTGCACCAGCTTTTCAGACAGAGGTCCTTACGCTTCCATGGAAGAGCGCTGCATAGCAGAAGCAGACTGGATGTGCCGGCTGCCTCTGTCAGTATCCCCCCTTTGGCAGTTCAATGTGTATTTCATATAACGTGGAACAGGGCCCCCGGCCCCGGGGGCGGTCCACTTTTTCAAAATTCGTTTTCCCCCCAGTCCCCTGTTTAGTCCCGGGGGGGGGGGGGCGACCCTTTTCGGGGCGCTTCGGGACCGGACTGCTGCTGGGGGGCCGCAAATCGGCCCCCAGAGCGATCAGACAGCCGTCCTGGCGGCCCATAACGGCGCCGAGCCATCTCAGAGACGGCCTCCAGGGGCCTACGACGGCCCAAGAAGCTTTCCAAACGGACCAAGAGGCCCCCAAGACGGCCCAAGAAGGCTCCAAGAGGACCCCGACGAGTGCCCCAAGAGGCCCAAATTGCAGATGTGCCTTAGTTTGTTTGAAGGATTTGACGTTTTTGCCGCTTCGGGCTTCCAACGCTCCTAGACGGCGCTTGAGGTGCCTAAGACCGCCCCGAAACGGCCAAAGAGGGGTACAAGGGAGCCCCAAGACGGCGTCAGAGACCTCTCGGGAGCCCCAACATGCCAGGACGGCCCAACAGGCCCCCCAAGACGGCCCAAGAGGAGCCCCAGAGCGGCCCAAGAGAGCCCCAAGAGGGGGAGCACGAACCCAAAATTCCAGCCTTCCGCTACCCCAGGACCCAGGAGGCCCACAGAGGCCCCCAAGAGGCCCGAAAGAGGCCCCGAGAAGCCCCAAAATGGCCCCCAAGAGGCTTCACAGACGCCCTCGACGAGGTTCCCGAGAGGCTTCCTACGAGGTGCCAACGATCACCCAAGAGGCCTCTGACACACGTGCATATTATGTATGTACGTCTGTCTGTCTGTCTGCCTGCCTGCCTGCCTGCCTGCCTGCCTGCCTGCCTGTCTGTATGCACGTATGCATGTATGTATGTATGTATGTATGTATGTATGCATGCATGCATGCATGCATGCATGCATGCATGCATGCATTTATGTATGTATGTATGTATGTATGTATGTATGTATGTATGTATGTGTGCACATTTGTTTATCTATATACACACGGAAGGTCCCGGCCCCAGGTCACCAGAGGGGGGCACCGCTTGTACAGAGCGGCCCCCGCCCTCCCCAGGGGCTCCCCGGCCGGCCCTCGGAGTTCCGAGACAGTTCCAGGGCGTCCCACGATCGGCCAAGACAGCCTCCAGGCTCCAGATGGCCAGGGACGCCTCCAGGAGGCGCCTGGAGGGCCCCAAGAGCGTTCCGACACGGCCCGAAGCAGTTACAAGACGGCCAATGCCGCAAAGACGCCCCTTGAGGTCCCCTGAGAGGGTGCTGGAATTCAAGGTTGAACGCAGGCAGTGGTCCTGAATAGGCCCATCTTGGAGCCGTCTTGAAGCCCGCGAAGCACGCCAATCGGCGAGAAGGCCCAAATCGATTGTTTCCCTACGGTGTTTGAAGAATTCTGGCGTCATGGGCGCCTCCTGGGGATCCCTTGGGAGCCTTTGGGGCCCTTGCTTCGGAGCTTTCGATCCTCTCTTGGGGCCATCTTGGAGACCATCGGAAAAATGTTCGTGGATGAGACGGGGATCCAGGCAGGAGGGGCATCGACGATCGAGGCCAAGAACACCACCGACGGCGCATGCGGAGGAGGAGGAGCAGGAGGAGGAGGAGGCGGAGCAAGGAAGATAAGGAAAGAGACATGAAAGCGGGGGAGGGAGAGGAAAAGGAGCAGTAGAGATCAGAGCCAGAGTATGAGAGGATCTCCATGTTCAGTTGGTGAAGAGCAGCATGCGCCTGTGTGCGATGATTGGCTAGAACTTGAGCCCGCGCGAAGCGCGCGCGACGGTCCCGACGCACCATGATTCGGTTCAAGCGACATGCAATGCGGAGCCATACTCGGGCACCCCAGTTCTCCTTTGATCTCTTTCAGCCCCAGACGACGCGTGGTAAAAGCCCCGAAACTCCCGAGTCAACCTGGCAGCACCCAGCGGCAATGCGCGATGATAGATCTTCGAGCGCGAATAGGACCAAAGCGCGCGAAGCGCGCGTGATTCTAGTCATGCAACTATGTGTCGCCCAGCCCCGCACCTGATCATGAGAAAGCTCCAGGTATTGTACTCAGGGCCTTGGAGGATTCTTAGGTTCATCCACTTCCCCCGGCTCTTCCGCGAAAGCTGGAGCCAGCTCAGGCACCCCGCTTTCAGACTCTCGTGCCCCGACATTTCGCCGAGAACGTGCGCAGCGTTCCCGCACCTGTAAAGCTGCTCTACACCGCCGTCTTGGGCATTTGGCGCTCAGACGCGGTATCCAACGAAAACAGATGCCTCCTCCTCCTTCTCCTCCTCATCCTCCTCGTTTTCCTTCTCCATCCTCCTCATATTTCTCTTCCTCCTCTTTCTCCTCCTCCGTCTCCGTCTCCACCGAAAGGACAAGCAAACACCGTTTGACAACCCAGGGGCGCCTTGTATCGACCATTGACGGCTAGAGCAATGATAGATCGACGCGCAAGGGTGTGTACGCATGGCCCGCCCTGCGACGCTTGGAGGGGGAGGGGGGAGGACGAGGACGAGCAGCAGGGGGATGACGGGCGGTATGAGAACGAGCAGTAGTCTGGGAGCGCGCAGTAGGGGAGGAGGACGAGCAGTAGGAGAGGAGGAGGAGGAGGGGGAGGAGGGGGAGGAGGAGGAGGAGGAGGAGGAGGAGGAGGAGGAGGAGGAGGAGGAGGAAGAGGAGGAGGACGACGACGACGACGAAGAGCAGCGACGGGCCCTACGTCTCCTCCCGTCCGGCCCTCCCCTCCCTCCCCCGCACGAGCAGAAAACAGCTGGTCGCCTGCGCCAGCCTTCGTACGGCAAGATCCCGTGCGGAAGGTCGCCCGTGCGCGGCCCGTCCAGGGCTCCTTTCTCTCGCTTCCTCCGCTCCGATCCCGTTCGAGCTCGGGGGCCTCCGATTCCGATTCGAGTCGGTTTCTGCTTCCGATGCGGGCTCCGACTTCTCAACGGAGCCCTGCACAAGCCTGCCGATGCCGCCGATTCGACTTTCCCAGACTTGGTTGCCGAGTTCCGCCGATCCGATTCGTGTCGATTCGACTCGTCGACTCGATTCTTGGCTCTCCTGCCCGTCTCAACGTGGTGTGCCGCGCTGTCGGCCAACCTGCGCCACTGCGAGATATATCGCAGCTTCCTCGCGCGTAGGATCGCTGAGCTGTTCCGCAGGGGCCCCCTTGGTTGGTCGCAGCCCGTCGGAGACCAGCAGGAGACCAGCAGGAGACTGCCAGGAGACCGCCGATGACCGCCCAGGGCCGGTGGGCAACAAGGGGTCCATGGTCGAACACGCAGTGGTGGGCCCGTTCTCCACCACCACCACCATGAGTGGGGGGGAGGAGGACGAGGAGGAGCAGGAGGAGGAGCAGGAGGAAGAGCAGGAGGAGGAGGTGGAGGAGGAGGAGGAGGAGGACCCCCTCCCGCTCCAACTTATGGTGGTGGTGGTGGTGGAAAACAGGCCCATCACGCAGGATCGATCCATCTGTCTTCGTCGCTCGCCTGCTTTCTCCTCCTGCGCCGAGGACTTGACGAGGTTTGAGCAGCTGGCCAGGCTGCAGGACGGCCAGGTGCGCGACGCGGCCGTGCAGCTGGAGAGGCCCAGGGTGCAGCTGCGCAGCGGCCAGCACTACCCCCGGGTCGAGGCGCAGGCGGGGCGCCCAGCGACGTGCTGCTGCCCCCGCTGCCCCCCCCCCCTTGGCCCTGGCGGCAGCGGCGGCGGCGGCGACGACTGCGGCAGCCGACAGCGACGGGTTTTGACGGAGGCGGCGTCGTCGACCTCTGCTTGCCAGCCCCCCCCCCTTCGGCTCCTGCGTGTGCCCGTGTGCCCAACCTGCTTGTTCCAAGTCCTTCCCTCACCTGTCGCTATCCTGGCTCAGGTGTGGACGCATTGGAGTGAGGACTCTGACCCTCTGGGCAGGAAGCTTCGCTTCGTCATCAGCATCCTGCGGAACCCAGGGCGGGATCGGCTTCCTGACGCTTCCCAAGGTCCACAGCTCCCGAGGGGCAAACCACCCTCTGATGGCGCCTGCGCGGGGGCTCGAAGGGGAGGACGGTGCAACCAGGGCGGGGGGGCCAGGCCGAGTCGCCGCCCGGGCGGCGTTGACATCGAGGTGGGCTCCTGGATTCCTTGGCCCAGGCGGGAGGAGCGGGTCGGGCGGGAGGGCTGGTGGGACTCCCCTGCCCTGCCGCCCTCCCTCCCCCATTTCCCTCTCTGTGTACCGCGTCTCCGTCCCGAACCCCCATCGGATGCTCCCCCCACTCGCTACCACGTCTCCCTCCCTATGTCCTTCCCAGATGCATCGAGGATGCGGAGGAGTAGGAGGATTCGTGTTTCAGTCGCCTTGCATGCGTATTTCGGCCTTCTCCGTTCGGTTTCTTCGTTATTCTCGTTGCCAAAGTTACTGATCGCTCGGTCTCTCTCCTCTCACACCGCCTGGCTGGCGCATACTCTGCACCCCTCGGGGCTCTGTGCTTTTCTTCTTCTGCCTGCCCCTGTTAGGTTCCTGCTGCGCCAGCCAAGCTCATTTTGCTGTTCGCCTTGGCCTAAGTCGGCCCTTTTGTTGTTCCCTTTCCAATTCGCTGCGTGCTGTTGCATGAAGGCCGAGCAGCCCCAAGAAAGGAAGAGAACACCCGTCCAGCCAGGGCGTCGGCACGTGCTCGCTGGCCACGCGCACGTGCACAGTATGTGCGCGCGGCCGGCGTGCCGCCGCCGTTGGCCATTGCCGCAGGGGCCGGCGCAGGTGCCAGCACGCCGCGCCCGAGCGAGCGACGGGGACGCGCCGTTGCACGCGGCCTCGTCGGCGAGGCCCCGGCCCCGGCGGGGCGGCACGACTGCCGCGCAGGGTTTCGATGGAAACGTCTTCGATAGAGTGGAGGCTCATGCCAAGCAGCACCCTGCCTGCCTCCAGGGTTCCCCTGGGTTTCTTGTGGGTTCGATGGTTCTGCGGTGGAGGGCGCGACGGTCCCACCCAGGGTCTCAGGGTTGGGCTTTTGGTGGGAGGTTTCTTGTGGCCGAGCTCCTGGTGGAAACCGAAGGTGTCTGCCCACGCGGCCTACACGCTGCCGCGCGCTCCCAGTCGGGCGCTTTTGGATGACGCGGCCAGCGCGGGCCTCGTCGCCCTTCTTTCTCGGGGGGGAGAAGCGGCACCACCGCCACCACCACCACCAGCAGAGGGCGCCGCCTCCGGCGAGGAGGTCCACGAGGCCTCCCCGAGCTGGGGACAGGGGATGTCTCGAGCGAGGGGGGATGGAGGGGCAACATCACCAGGGGGACCCTCCCCTGGCTCCTCCCGCGGGTGATCCCGGGTGGTGGTGGTGGTGGTGGTGGTGGTGGTGGTGGTGGTGGTGGTGGTGGTGGTGGTGGTGGTGGTGGTGGTGGTGGTGGTGGTGGTGGTGGTGGTGATGGTGGTGGTGGTGGTGGTGTCGGTGTTCTTTGTTCCTACTATGTTTCTGCTGCTTCTTTTCGTGCTGTCTGCTCCCCCTGCATGCCTCTCCCCTTGTGGGGCACACGAAAGCGACTTCCACCCAAGCGCTGAGGGCGAGGGGCAGGCGGGAAACTTAGCTCGCCTGCGAGCAGAAGGACTGCTCGGAGCCCGCGATGTGGGAAGATACTCCCCCCCAGACCCCTGACGTCCTGTTGTTTCGTGACGTTGACCCCGACAAGTATCGGCTCCTTCCCAGGATGGTCGTCCCGATTCGTTGTTTCAAGGGGCCTTCAGAATCTGAAAATTATCAAAAAAAAATCCCGTCGCTATTCCCGACCATCCTGTGATGTTGGATTCTCGATTTGAATATGCAGCGGCCCTCGACACTCCGTCATCGTGGTTCCTCCTCCCCATCCTCCTCCTCCTCTCCATCCTCCTCTGTCTCCTCTTCCTCATCCTCGTCCTCCTCCTCTTCTTCCCCGCTTCCCATTTCGGTTCCTCTTCACTCGTTTCGTGGCTGGCCCCACAGGGAGCCCCAGCGCAAACCCAGACGCAACAATTCACATGAGCTCCCGACCGTGATTTCAGCGCATCCCTCCCACGCTTCGTGGCCCCATAGGGAGCACACATTCAAGGCAAATGTCAAAGTTCACATGAGCTCATGTCTATCATTGATCATTGCGGCGCATCCCTCACACGCTGTGCGGCCCCATAGGAGCCTCAACCAAGGCCCAAGTGCCAAAGTTCGCACGAGCTCCCGTTTTGAATTTCGGCACACCTCTCCCACACTTGCTGGCCCGATAGTGAGCTCCGAATAATGCCTACATGCCGAAGTTCACAGTCGATCCCGCTTTCCACGTGGCCCCATACGAAGCCCCAGCTAAGCAAGCCTCACCCGCCAAAGTTCACATGACGTTCCCTTTTCCATGTCGGGCCACGCCTCACACGCTTCGTGGCCCCATCGGCAGCCCAAGTGAAGGCCCAACTGCCACGTTTCACACGAGGCCCCGCCTTTCATGCCGGCACACCCCTCACACGATTCGCGGCCCAAAAACGAGCCCAGCCGAAGGCTCACATGCCAACGTTCACATGCGATCCCGCCTCGAATTCGGGCACGCCCCTCACACGATTCGTGGCCTTACAGGGAGCACCAGCCAAGGCCCAAATGCCGAAGTTCACATGGGCTCCCGCCCCCCATGTCGGCTCACCACTCCCACCCTCCATGACCCCATGTGGAGCTCCGACTGGGCCCAAATGCCAAGGTGCATATATGAGCTCCCGCCTCCCATGTCGGCACACCCCTCACATGTTTCGTGTCCCCACCGGAAGCTCCAACGAAGGCCCAAGTGCAAACAGTTTGTAGACGTTTCCGTGTTTGATTTCGATACCCTCCACACGCTTCGTGGCCCTATGGGGAACCTAACCTAAGGCCCACACGCCAAAGTTCACAGGCGCTCCCGCGTCTCATGTCCGCACGCCCCTCCCACGCCTCGCGGCCCCATGGGGGACTCCATCTAAGGCCCAAGTGCCAGAGTTCACATGCGCTCCCGTGTCCCCCTTCGGCACGACTCTCACACGATTCGTGGCCCCATAGGGAGACCAAACTGAGGCCCACATGCCGAAGTTCGCATGAGCGCCAGCCTCAACGTAAGGCTCACATGCCAAAATAGCTCCCGCCTCCAATTTCGGATCACCCGTCACACGATTCGTGGCCCCATAGGGGGCTCCAACGAAGGCCTAAATGCCAAAGTTCACATGAACTCCAGCCTCCCATTCCGGTACACCCTACGCCCTACACATGCTTCGTGGCTCTATTGGGAGCCCCAACTAAGGCCAATATGAAAGTCGTGCCGGCCCACCCCTCACATGCTTCGTGGCCCCATCGGGAGCCCCAACCAAGGCCCACATGCCAAAGTTCACATGCAGCCCCGCGTCTAATTTCGGCACGCCCCGCACGGCACTCACACGTGTCGTGGCCCCATATGGCGCACCAACCAAGGCCCACATGCCAAAGTTCACATGAGCTCCCGCTCCTGTTCAGGACCACATGTCGCACGCTTCGTGGCGCCACAGGGAGTCCCAACCAAGGTTCAAGTGCCAGAGCTCACATGAGTTCCCGCATGTCGTTTCGGCACACCCCTCACCCGCTTCGTGCCCCCATAGGGAGCTCCAGCAAAGACCCGCATGCTTCACTTCACACGCGATCCCGCCTCCCATGTCAGCACTCCCCTCACAAGCTTCGTGGCCCCAAATGGTGCCCCAACTAAGGCCCACAGGCTAAAGTTCACGGGAGCTCCCACGTTCCATGTCGGCAGACCTCTCACACGTTTCGCGGCCAGACATGGAGCCCGACGGAAAACCTCGACCCTGACTTGTTCCAGGACCCGAGAGGGCTCAGACACCCGACGTCATGATTTGTTTTCATAACGTCGACCCTCAGAGGTCTCGACCCCTTCCCCTGGACCGGTTTTCCATCCTGCGTCGTTTTTTGGCGGTCTCGAGGGCCGGTGAGGGCCTGCAGAGGCCGAAAATCAGGAGAAGCCTCCCGTCATGATTTTCTCATTGCCCGAGAGTGTCTGGGGGTTTGGCTTCCTCACACCATCCGCGAGGATCCCCCTCTGTAGCCTCACCATGGAGCTGCCTCGCGCGCGCGCCCGCCGAGAGCGCCCCAGACCCGGCAGGCCGCGCCGGACCGGCCGTTCGTGGACGCGGCCGTGCACGAGGCCCCACTGCGCGCCGCGGGAGGTGGCGGAGGGGCCCCAGCAGCGGCTCCGGCCCCGGCCAGGGGTGTGGACGAGGATCAGCTGGGATGGGCGCGGGGGATGCTGAGTGGACAGGGGGGTTATCAGTGGATACCAAGGTGGGTTCTATCTGGCCTAACCTAGCTCATTAGTGGGTTGCTAATGCCCCAAGTGGCTTGGGGGGATAGCGATCCAGGCTAAGCGGGCTCTGCCCACTTAGCGGAGTTGTCTAATCCCCCTAAGCCACGTGGGGCATGTGCAACCCACTTATAAGTTAGGTTAGGCCAGGGTATAACCAATTTGGCGTTCTCTGATAACTCCTCTATCCCCTTACCAGCCCCCGCGCCAATCCCAGAATGGAGAGGAAGCATGTTTCAAGAGTTGTTCCAGATTTTTCATGTGTTGTTGGCATGGAAGTGGCATGTAATTATGTTTTCGCACATGCCTCAAACTGTCAAAACACATGTTCCAATTCAACGATGGGATTGTTGAGGTGTCCATTGTCATTGCGTTCACAAGGCCAGCGGTGCGGGGAGTCATGACACACAAAAACCACGACAGGAGGTTTTTCGCTATTTTCGGCCTCCGGGGGTCCTTACTGGGCTGCAGAACGGCCAAGAAGCGGGATGAAAAGACCTGTCTCGGGGAGGGGGTCGAGACCTCTTGGGGTCGACGTTATGAGAAAATCATGACTTCGAGGGTCTGGGGAATAGGAGATCGGGGCGGAGGAGGGGCCCTGGCCAGCGGTGTGTTCTGTAGCAAACAATGGGAGCCTGGTATACCCTCTTAGTAACGTCTTCAGCGTCGACTAGCGTCGATTAGCGTCTGGGAGTGCATGCGATAGCGTCGATTAGCGTCGATTTAGCGTTCATTAGCATCGATTTAGCGTCGAGTATCGTCGATTTAGCGTCGACTAGCGTCGATTCGCAATAGCCGACAAGATGGGATGGGAGACTTCCATGAGTTGCCTCCAAAGGTGTGGGGGGCCTTAAGACTCGCCAGTCGAGTCGGGTATCGACTGCAGAATTGAAATACCTCGGGAATTGTTTTCCGTCGAAGCTACGAAATGATTATAACGCTTTTCCGATATACGCTGGACAGAACAATCCATTCTAGGGTAAATCAATGTTGTAGTCGATCTCCTATTCGAGCCATGGGGGAAACGGGTCCTGAGGGAAACGAGTCCTGAGGTTGTTTGCCGTTTGCGGGCTCTAGGGGACCTCCACGGGCCCCATGAGCATCAGAAAACGGTTGAGGACAAAAGAATCGTTTTTGGGAAGGCCGCCGGGTCCAGAGCACGTTTCCCTCAGGAACCGTTTCCCCCATGTTAGTGAGACGGGGGTCAATGCAAACGGGGGTCAGACAGAGCGCCAGATGTTGCAGGATCCTGCAGAGCCAGAGGTGCATTGAGCCTGGGCAGCGCGCAGGATTCTGCAGGATCCTGCAGGATCCTGAAAAGCCTGACTGACCAATGTTTGGATTGACCCGGGTCAGCAGACTGGTCGGAGCACGCTGTGCGAGTTGAGCCAACGTTTCCGAGAGCATATACGCTCACAGCAGTTCGAGTGCGGAAAGCAGTCGTCGATGAGGAAGGGGGTGGGCATGAGGAGGAGGAGGAGGAGGAGGAGGAGAGAGGAGGAGGAGGAGGAGGATGAGGAGAGAAGAGCGAGGCAGGGGAGGGGGAGGGGAAGGGAAGAGAGAAAAGAGGGGGGGGATGAGGAGGAGAGGAGGAGGAGAGGAGAGGAGAGAGAGAGGAGGAGGAGAGGAGGAGAGGAGGAGGAGAGGGAGAGGAGGAGGAGAGGAGGAGAGGAGGAGGGGGGGGGGAGGAGGAGAAAAGGAGGAGGAGGAGGAGGAGGAGGAGGAGGAGGAGGAGGAGGGAGGAGTGCGGCCCTGGGAGGACAGGGGGCGCGATGGAGGCGCAGGACCGCGCGCAGGAGGCGAGGATCCGCGACAGCCCGGACCTGCAGATGGTGCAGGCCGGGGCGGCCCCCGCGCGGGGCGATTGGCCGTCGATATAAGTCGGACATGCCCCCGTACAAAAGGAATTTTCAAACAAATCTGAAAATAGTTTTGGGACGTTTGTTTATCATTTCCGATGTTTGTTTCAGTGTCTTGTTGCTGTATTATCCGCCTGTAGGAGGACATGCCCGACCTAACCCTCGATCGACGATCGCTGGTCGGTTTTCGGGGGCCGACGGGCCGCCGATCGCCAGATCGTGGGGCCGTCAGGGGAGAGCCAGCCAGCGCCACGAAGCAGCGGGTTCCCGAGGTGAACAGCTCTTGCGGTGTTGGGCCCTTCTCTGCAAGGGTCTGACCGGGCTTCAGCCCCTCCCCCCCTCGCCCTGTGCTTTCTTTCTCGATGATCCTGCTCCGTTCTGCCACGAAGGGCAGCCAGGGGCATCGAAGGTGGGCGAAGGGCAGCGAGGGGCGACTGCAGTTTTTAGCGAGCGGGTTCGGCGGCGGGCCCAGACGGGCGGGTCGAGCGGGCGGGTCGCTGACGCGTGAGTCCTGCACGAATTGCGAGGGCTTCGCTAGCGATAGCCCGATTCCGAAGTAAATCGTCAGGAAAGCCCAAGCGAGAACGGGTCCGAGACCGCAGGGCATTCGAAACACGAATGGCCGTGCGAACCTGCGGTCCCGCCGCACAAGACACGCGCAGGGCTCTTGCAGCGGCCTGTCTGGTGCGGCCACTGCTGTTGGCCACAGCGCCGCCGACTGCACGGCCCCGTTGCTTCTTTTTTTTCTGGACAGCGCCCGTCCTGGTACAGTCAGCCCGCGTGGTAAGGATGGGCAACTTTCCCAAGGGTACCCTTGCATACTTGCCCCTTCGGCCCATCCATAGTAGCTGGCCAACCTCGTTCGAGAAACGTTCACATGGGCCGCCAAGGCCCTTGCATCCTTACCGCGCGCCCTTCTGATACGGGTTGGCTGTAGCCGAGGCAGAGGGCGCGCTTCCCCACACATGGAACCCCTGGAACTGGGCGGGGTAGCGGCTGAGGAGCTGCCGCTACTGCCACCGCGCGATCCCCTGCTGAATCTTCGCCAGCACTTCCGACGGCGCGAAGTTGGCGGAGGAGGAGGAGGAGGAGGAGGAGGAGGAGGAGGAGGAGGAGGAGACGGAGGAGGATGAGGCGGAGGATGAGGAGGAGGGGAGGAGGGGGAGGAGGAGGGGGAGGAGGTCAGGAGGGGGAGGAGGTCAGGAGGGGGAGGAGGGAGGAGGAGGAGGAGGAGGACGAGGACGAGGACGAGGACGAGGAGGAGGAGGAGGAGGAGGAGGAGGAGGAGGAGGAGGAGGAGGAGGGGAGCAGCCCCCCTTTCCCACTTCTGCTCGCATGAGGAGGGGCAGCCACATTGCCACAAGCAGCCCTGCCGCCCCATCCGCACCAGCCCGGCCTGCAGCCCCACAGCTAGCGAGGGGCATGGAGGACCCACCCCGTTCTCGCCTGCGCCGGCCCCGCCTGGCCGAGGCGAGGCCCAGCAGAGACACTTCGAGCCTGGCCACGTGCGGGAGACCGAGTGCCAGGGCCAAGAGTCGGGGGCGGCCAAGGGGGGGGGATGATTAGGGGGTGGGTTGGATTTCATGGCGTAAGCCATGATATTTCCCCAGATGTCATGGCGCCTCTTCTCATTCCACCATGTTCCCGCCCCCCCCCCCTGGGCCGTGCGCATGCCGTCGGCCACGATTTGCGCCCTCCCTCTTGGACGCCCTCTTCTTGGCCGCTCCCGAAGAGTGGGCCCGGGCATCGCTATCACGACACCGACAAATGCACGGGGAAGGCACGCCCGAGCGATTCGAAGAAGAAGAAACGCCATAAACACGAAGTTCTGGCGCTCCGCGCAAATTTCTTGTATCCGCGCTGGGGCCCCCCGGCGGCGCCTCCGGCGCCGCCCCTGGCGCGCTCCGCGCTCCAGGGAGGGGGGGTCCAGCGCGCAGAGTCAAGACATCCGCGCGGAGCGCCACGAGATTCTGTTTAATCTGTTTTTTTCTGTTCAGGCGCGCACGAGCGATGGCAGGGGACACTCGGACGGGGCCAGGACGAGGGCGAAGCCGTTCCAGAGCGCTCCGGAATGCTCTCCTCAGAGCGTTCTAGAGAGAAGGCCGCGGTGTCCGAGAAATTCTCCAGAGCCGCAGGACCTCAGAGAGTTTGGATCTATTATCACCCAGATTTATCCTCGTCCTGGCTTCGTCTTAGATGCCTTCCCAGATCCGAGCCGGCATGCACCCTGCGAGAGCCCGCGCCAGCGCGGGCGCGTCGTCTGGGGCGACGATCGGGGGGGGGGGGTGCTAGGCATTTAGGGGGATGCATCGGCCCCCAACCGCCCATTGATCGCCGATGGCCCGATGGCCCCAACCTGCACAGGAAGGTGCAGATTCACTGTCTGGGGCCTATCGCCGATCTATCGGCGATCTATCGCCGAATCCGGGTCGATGCCTTCCCCCCTGTGCCAGTCACCCCCTTACTGAGATTGGCACGGGGGTTGCTGAGGGGATAGGGGGATATCAGTGGACGCCAAAGGGACTAGACCAGGCCTGACCTATCTTATACGTGTGTTACACGAACCCCAGGTGGCTTAGGGGGATTGGACAACTCCGCCAAGAGGGCGGAGCCCACTCAGCCTGGATCGCTATCCCTCCCAAGCCACTCGGGGCATCAGCAGTCCGCTAATGGGCAGATACAGATAACCCACCTTGGCATTCACTGATCACCCCCCTGATCTTCTTAGCAGCCCCCGCGCCCATCCCAGCAGGCGGGCCGTTGCGAGAGCCCTGCTTGCGTCTTGTGCGCCGGACCCGCATGCTCGCACGTTTGTGTTTTGAGTGCTCTGCCGTCCTGGACCCGCTCTCGCTCTGGACCTCCCCACGCTTTGCTTGGGAATCGCGCCATCGCTAGAGACGCCCTCGCGAGTCATGCAGGGCTCACGCTTCGGCGACCCACGCGCCCGGCCTGGCCGTCGGGGCCCGCCCGTCCGACCCGCTCGTTAAAAGCTGCACTCGCCCCTCGCTGCCCTTCGCCAACCTTCGATGCCCCTTGCTGCCCGTCGTGGTTCCGCGCCCATCCCAGCACAGTCAACCCGCACAGTAAGGATGGGCAAGCTTCTCAAGGGTACCCTTGCATCCTTGGTCCATCCTTGGTCCATCCTTGGCCGCTTTCGCTGGCCGCGCCCCGCTCGCAAAGGAGGAGGAGGAGGAGGGGGAGGAGGAGGAGGAAGAGAACGAGGAGGAGGAGGAGGAGGAGGAGGAGGAGGAGGAGCAAGAGGAGGAGGAGGAGGAGGAGAGGAGGGAGGAGGAGGAGGAGGAGGACATGGCCCCCAAAGGCCTCTGTATCCTTATCCTGCGTCCTTCTGGTACGGGTTGACTGTGTCGTTGCCCCTCGCGTCGGCGCGGCCAGCGCGGGGGAGCGCTCGGTCGCTGTGCCGAGGTCGGGGAGCGGCGCCGCAGCAGCGGAGAGCGGCCTGGGGTGCCCGGCGGCCGGGCGGCCGGGAGCCCGGCGGGGGTCGGCGGCTAGAAGGGTCCTCCTCC